CCTGTAGCTATAACTGCCTGCTGAGTGATTCTCTTTTTTTAACAGATACAGATAATCAGAGTTGGAAAGGGACCTTGTAGGTCATCTAGTCCAACCCCCCTTGCCCAAGCAGGAGACCTTACACCTTTTCTGACAGATGGGAGTCCAATCTCTTCCTGAAAGCCTCCAGGGATGAAGCTCCCACAACTTCTGAAGGCAACTTCTGTTCCATTGGTCGATTGTTCTCACTGTCAGAAAGTTTCTCCTTATTTCCAGGTTGAATCTCTCCTTGTTCACTTTTCATCCATTATTCCTTCTCTGGCCTTCATTTGAAAATAGCTTGACCCCCTTCCTCTTCTCTGTGGCAGCCCCTCAAATATTGGAAGATTGCTCTCCTGTCTCCCCTGGTCCTTCTCTTCCCTAGACTAGCCAGGCCCAGTTCCTGCAACCGTTCTTCCAATGTTTTAGTCTCCAGTCCCCTCATCATCCTGGTTGCTCTTCTCTGCCCTTTTTCTAGAGTCTCAGCTTCTTTTTTATAACGGTGGTGACCAAAACCGGTTTCAGTTTTTGCCCTCCCCATTTTTTGGTAGAAGTTATGCAAGGCAGGATATGAAGTAGACTGGAGGAAGTGACAAGGTCTACAGTCATAACTTTGTGAAGGCATCTATCATGAACAGTCCCGAAAGCTGTTCTCAACTCTAAACGCTGCCATGTTCCATATGACTTACAACGTCAATGAAAGGCCAAGGGCTGGTAGTTTTGGCAGCTGCTGCAGAGGTCCCACATGTGAGGTTTCTCCTCCAGAGCTTACAGCCCAGATCCACAGTATACCTTGTAAGCATGAGGACTGCTCATAAGTCACTTATTTTTGCTCAAACTTTGTTTTTTTATCTCTTGGCTGTGGATTCAGAGAGCTCCGGGCACACTTTGGCAAGTCAAAGCAAGATTCTTAGTGATTGGCAGAATGCAAAGCTTTACAAAGCTTACCTAATTTCATTTTGGGGCATCAACTTTTCCCAGCTGCCTAAAAACTGAAGGAAGGTAGGAGAAAATGAACACGGAAGGTTTGTAAAGCAAGGTTAATTATATCTTGGGCTGCTGTAAGGGAGTACTTTTATGTTTCCCATAATTAATGTATATCAACCCTTTTTTTTAAAACAGCTGGGTCTATCTGAAGCTAAGTATGATAAGGAAAATGCTGTAACTGTTTTAAAGTGCTACATAAATTATATGAATAGCCGGAGTCTTCTTAAGTATCTCTTTAGTGCCCTCTCCAATCATCTGAAGAATATTCAGTGAATTATTTCTTCTTCTTCTTCTTCTTCTTCTTCTTCTTCTTCTTCTTCTTCTTTCTCCCTTCTGGTTCTTCTGGTTCTGATTCTTCTTCTGATTCTTCCTCCTCCTCCTCCTCCCATGCTGTCAAGAACACAGGCTGCAATCTCAAACTATCACATAACTCCATATAAGGGGGGAAATTACTTTAGATTATTTCCAAAAGCTAAATCAAGATACAGTGCTTCATGCTCAAATCTGATCTAATCCCGTTGGCTTTCCAGCTCATAGTTTTTGAAAGGGAGGAACCCACAATAATTAATTTTTTTGGGGGGGGGAATAAAACAGGCAGGCTATCTCAAGCCAACCCTTGGAGACCCATTCTTCTATTTATTTATTTTAAAGTCATCTTTGGACGCAGCGAAAAATGTAACGTTTGGTTGTCTTCCAATTCCGAGATCCCCAAACAACTGTGTCTCTGAGGGTCACATCGATTTAGATGCTAAACTAGAATTTGTGTGTGTGAAGATGTCTTCACACACATTCGTGCTGTCGTGCCTCTTAAGTTTCTCTCCTTTTCGAAACTGTTCTGGGTTGGAGGCCCTTCTACAGAAAGTATCTGTAGTTGGCCAGAGTCTGTTTAGATCACTTAGGGCTGCATTGTTGTGCTTGGATTAGAAAGTATGTAGATTATTTCAAAAGCTCTGCCTGTAAGGAATGCCGGATTGTTGATCTGTCTCCCTACGAACTCCATACCCTTTGTTAGTTATGCCCTGCCAGCTTTGGGCGACGTTTCTGTACAAGCATTCAATTGTTTGGAGGAAAAATTTTAATTTCTGCAGGGAAAAAAAAAAAGAGAGGGTGGTATGTCCTCTTAAGAGCTGACAGCGTTCCTCCCTGGTGGTAAAGTTCTTTTCCTAAAAAGATGTTCACCAAACAGGAAAGGATCCCAATTTTTCCTACAAATTGTGATCAATAGATACAGATAATCAGAGTTGGAAGGGACCTTGTTGGTCATCTAGT